TGATGAGTGGAGCTGCAGAGACAGGATTCTTTCACTCCCCGCAGTAGGTGGAACAATGGATCTCAGCAGAGTATTTCTGACCGCAAAGCCAACACCATATTCCCTGGTCTCACTCAATGGTTTTCCCTGCCAGAAGAATGAGAAATGTTTTCTTTGACAGAGCCCGAGTCAGGCAATCTCATCTCTTGCAGGGCAGCAAAGTCCATCTGCAGTCTACTCAGTTCCATGTTGATGATAGCTGTCTCGTGTGCATCGTCTATTTCCTGCAGGTCGTCAGAAAAGCCGGGGTCATTGTCTGAACGTTCCAGTTCAACTTTAGGGCAGAAGTTTTCTTATGTATGGTGCAGGGTTATCGATTTGCTTGTCGACGGTCACCCTAAACCCCATGCACCCTGTGAGGTTAAGAGACCGTGGTGAGGTAGCAGCTTACTGGCTGGGGACTGCCCAGCTTAAGGCAGGTGGTAGCTACCTAGTGAGGTGCAATGAAATCCCCCACTGTCAGAAGTAGCCCCTGAGATATAGAGATTTGTTAGAAGAGGACCTAAGTATAAAATGAAGGAAAGAATTAGAAGAACAATACTTGATTGGTGGACAAAAACACAAAAAGATTCAAGATATACAATAGACAAAACAATAGGCTTCTGTAAGGAACAGACACCATTAGATAAGGTCCTTCTGAAGTAAAGGAAAACTGATCAAAATATTGTATAATTATCTACTAGAATTAAAAATTGCGAGATGAAATAGTGAAAGAATGTATGATAAAATGGGCCCAAAATGTGGGCCACAATATCAACTTGAAGTCATGGTCACAAATATGGGAAGACAATATTGTTAACAGAAGCAATTAATTAAAAATATGTGTAAGATGTTCTGTAAATTGTATACGGCACCTGGAAAATTATCAAAAATAGACAAACAAATTGTTGAGGCTAAAAAAGTGGGAATCTTTGTATAATTGGATGAGAGATGAGAACATGAATAGGTTAAGAAAGCAGATATAAGATATAATTGTAGAGTTTAAAAACTTAGAAAAAATGGCAAGATAAGTGTGAAGTAAGCTTATTAAGAAAACAAAAGTAATAATGATATACAGTGGTGCCTCGCATAGTGACGATAATCGGTGCAGCAAAAATCACTGCAAAGCGATTTCGTCGCTATGCGATATTAAAAAGCCCATAGGAATGCATTGAAACCCCTTCAATGCGTTTCTATGGGCTTCAGACTCACCTTTAAACGAAAATCCTCCATAGGGCGGCCATTTTCGCTGCTTGATAAGCGATGAATCCGTCCCAAAAAACAGCGGGCGGCCATTTTGGAACCACCGATCAGCTGTTAAAAAAATAATCGCTTTGCAATGATCAGTAAGCAAAACAGAGAACCGATCATCGCAAAGCGAAAAAAACGCATAGGAAACATCTCAATGCGATTGCTTTTGCGATTGCAGAATCTTCATCGCTATGCGATTTCATCGTTAAACGGAGCGCCCGTTAAGCGAGGCACCACTGTATATTGTTCTCAATCACATTTTGTATTTTTATATTTACCCCAGTATTCTGTTCCAAACCCCCTTCCGTGTGATCTTTCCTTACCCAATCAAAAATGAATAGTAAAAAAACCCTAAAATTTGAAAGCAGCAAGAGTGCAAGAAGGATCAACCATCCAAACTTTCTGAATGCTTAAAATTTCTATGAGAATAAATGTATCCCATCCACCTGCCCTCTGATTCCCACACTTCTAGAATTTGACTAAATGTGAAAACAGATGTTCTAGTTTTCTTTTGCCAAAATGTATACTTAGCAACGGTGCCTCTGCTAAGAGAGGTATTCAGATAATTTCTGCTCAGCTATGAGGCTTGCCAGCTGCCTTAGAGAAACTTGTCTCACAGGGTCATTCTGATAATAAAATAGGATGTTGTCATGTACATCGCAGTAAGACTCCTGCAATAAAAGAGTGACAAATAGTCACTTGTTTGGTTCCTTTAAAAGGTAAATTCCTCTGAAATATAAACCATGTAGCTGAAAAGCACATGTGAGACCAGCCTTGCTTCCCCTGCTGGGGAGTTTGGACTTCAAACCTCCTCATGATTCCTGACCCACAGCTCACCTGTAGACGAGGGTGCTGCAGCAGAAGATACCCTAGAAGGCACATTTGGAAGCATGGAAGGCTGGGGGTTTAAGGAAGAGAGTGAGTGGGAAGGGGGAGACTGATGAGCAGATGTGCTGGTTTGGGAAGTGTTTCAGGCAGAAGAGATGCCAGCACAACTGGAGCACTCCACTGCTGGTTGGGAAACAATTTGCCATTGAGGTCCTGACACTGGGGCAGACAGAGAGGAGTTCTTTGTCCCTCAAAGTGGCTTTAGAGCAAGATTTCTCTGTAGCCCAACACATGCTTATGGAGACAGAAAGACAGACAGACACACACGAAGACACAAACATTTTACTTATTATTTATTTCAAATATCTTTATCCCACCTTTCTCCTTCAGAAGGACCCAAGGCAGCTTTACATCATTATAAAGGCAATGTATTTAAAAGCTAAAAACAGTAAGTGTGCAAACACATGGGGTGGAAAAAGAGGGAAAGCAGAGAATCACCAGCTGGGGCTGAAGCTGACAAGAGACATTTTGACAGGATCAGCTGTTCTTGGGGGTTTTGTAAATAGCACACACAATTTGTGTAGAAACTGAGTATTTTTTGGATTGCCATTTTTGGTCTCCTGGAGGCATCTAATTTCTGGAACTGTCATTTTCAAGGCTGTCTCTGGTGTAACCCATTTAAAGTTCTCCTTAACATGCCCCATAGAAATAAACATCAGCAGTGCAGGATTATAATTTGCATATGTTTCAGTGCAGGAGAAGTTCCTGATGGATGGCACTTCTGTTCTCATAATATTTGTTATAACTTCAACAGATGAGGTTCGTGACACAGTTGCCATTGAGGAAGAAGGGGAGACTCCTGGAGCAGAAGACCTCTCTTCTTTCCCAGAAGATCTTGTGGCAGAACAATTAACCTACATGGATGCTGTAAGCATAATACATTCCAGATTAATTATGAAATATTTGTTTTGTTTGTTTCTTATAGTAGTATCCTACCTTTTCAACAAGTGGTGCTCAAGACAGTTGATAGTTAAAATACCATGTTTCCCCCAAAATAAGACAGGATCTTATATTAATTCTTGCTCCAAAAACGCATTAGGGCTTATTTTCAGGGGATGTTTTTTTCATGCACAACAATCTACATTTATTCAAAGACAGTCATGTCATCTTCTTCTGGTTGCTGCACAATGGTGGAGGGCAAGGTTTCACTTAACTGGGGCTTATTTTTGGGGTAGGGCTTATATTACGACTCAAAAAATCATACTAGAGCTTATTTTCAGGTTAGCTCTTATTTTTGGGGAAACAGGGTAGGAAAACAGATAGGTAAAAACATCATAAAAATAATCACCTACCTCAATGTATTGTAGCATTTACAGTGGCTGTAGCAGCAGGCCTATGAGACCCAAGGTCTGTCTAAGGAAACCATCTTTGTCTGCTGACAGAAGGAAATCAAAGCAGTGGATAGATGTGCTGTTACTAGCAGAGGCACAGAATCTTACTAAACATCTTCTAGGGTGCTTTGAACTTGGATTAGATCAGGAATCAAGTTGAGCCAATGGCGTTCTCCTTACTTTTCTGGAAATCAATAAGGAGAATCCAGTAAAGCAAAGTAAACCCTGCAAAAGAAACATCTTAAAGCTTACTAATGATCATCCATTTTTAGGAAAAATCTGGAAGGTTGCTTGTTTTTGCCCCAAATCATTGCAAGCCAGAAAATAGAAGACCAGATCACCAAATTCTGTGTGGTATCCCTTTCTGCTTGGTGCCTGATGCGAAACCTAGCTCACCGGCCCCCCTGAGGCCAGCCCCACATTTTCCCACCTGATCATCTCTTCTGATAGTTTTGGCCACTCTGAACTCATCATGGATATTCTCCAAATTAGCTTGCTTTGTTTTGTAACTGGTCTTCAGGACTGAAGCGCTGGATTTCTTTCCGGTTGGATTTATCAGCAGGAGACTCTGTATGAACTGCAGCTTCCCAGCACATATGTTCAGTTCTAATCATATGCCCTATCTGACACCTGTTTCTGTCCGGAGTGTTCTCCTTGGTAAATAAAATGCAAGGAGGATTGGCTCTTACTGAAGTGAACTGGATAGTAAAATGGGTCGTTAGATTATTTTGCTGCTTGCTTGGCATGAGATGATCTTTTGTTCCACTTAACAGAACTGAAAAGTGGCCCACAGAGTCTCCCTACTTTTTTATTTATCAGGACATTTCAACTTAGCACTGCTAAACAGAATTAAGAAGGCTCTTCTTGCATTTATGTCTGGCATATTTTTCTAGGAATTATTTAAAAAAGTGGTGCCACATCACTGTTTGGGCTCCATCTGGTCTCGGAGGGAGAAGAAGGAGAACCAACACTTGGCCCCCACCATCAGAGCCACCATTGCCCAGTTCAATGCTGTGGCCAATTGTGTTGTCAGCACCACCCTGCACAACAAAGAGCTGAAAATACAGCAACGAGCGAAGATCATAGAGAAATGGATTGATATTGCACAGGTAAAAACTCATTCTGTTTGCCTCCCTGATGTTTTCAAAGACAACAAGGTGCGTAAGTGCCGTGACTGTTCTAATTCTTTCTGGTTTTTAAAAAAGTAACTTTGGGCAATGGATGCTTAGTCTCTTAGGGCCTGATTACAGTGGTGCCTCGCTAGACGATGATAATCCATTCCACTGAAATTGCTGTTTAGCAAAATCATTGTCTAGCGAAAAGCATTTCCCTACTGGAATGCATTGAAACCGGTTTGATGCGTTCCAATGGGGAAGAATCGTCGTTGTCTAGCGAATATCGGCCATAGGAAAGCCGCTTTGCGAACCCGCCGATCAGCTGTTTAAATCGCTGTCTTGCGAAGCTTAGGTCCCGAAAACACCCGTTTTGCGAGCGCGGAGGGAGCTGTCAGAATCGTTGTCTAGCGAAAATCGGTTTGCGAAGCAGGGACCAAACATTATCTAGTGAAATTCCCCCATAGGAATCACTGTTTTGCAAATTGCTATAGCGATCGCAAAAAGTCAATGTCTAGCGAAAAAACTGTCATGCGGGGTAACTGTCTAGCGAGGCACCGCTGTACATGGACCATTTGAATTGTTTCTTCAAGCTGTGCACTCACTTTCAGCAGAAGAAAAAAAAAGCTGGGCATCATTTGCTACAGCTGACAGTAGTTTAAGGATACTGTTGTGCTGTCAGTGTCTGTTACTACTCCAAATACATCTATTTATTTCAAGTAGAGATGGGAGACCTTCCTCAGCCACATGTGTCATCCAACTAGGGGGGAAAAAGCAGAAAAGGGAGAATAACAATACTTGGAAGTCATCAGGAGCAGTGATTCTCCCTTAGTCCCTTTTAAGGGACTGGAATAGCCTGTGGCAGCTGCATTGGGAGGAGGCTGGCATTTGGAGGACTGGGGGAGGACCACCCCAGATTCAGAAAGTATACCCCACATTTCTCCATTTCGATAAGAACTCATTTAAAAAAACTAACGGAAAGAGAAACAGCGGTTTAAAAATGAAATTAGCATTTGGGGTGCAAGGGATTTGTCAAAGGATCTTAAAAATCCAGCACAGAGAATGTGTAGGAAAACAGGTTGGACTTCATTGGGTTCCCAAAATAATGGAGAGGAACAGGAGAAATATACTTTATTTGCAATTGGAAATTATTTCTGCTTCTGGTATGGTACCACTCTTGCTTCCAACTCTTGAACCTTCCGTGTGATCAGTAAGTGTTCTGTGTAAATTGAAAGTTTTCAGACTAATTACATGTAATGTCAACATGATTTTGCAAAGATATTCCTTAATTCTCTTTAACTTGCCTACAGAGGGCTGCTTTCACAGACATTTTGCCTGGAAAACTGGAAGGTACAAAATAAAGTCAACAGCATTGCAACAAAAGAAAAAAGATGAAAGTGTGGAAAACAAAAATATAGTGCCCCAACCTGTACAAACTGCTTTCAGGGGTTAGGAGGAGCAAAACAGGGCTGTTATTTTCTTTTGGTGCTCAGTACATGTATTTGTTCAGGTGGGTGTTTGAGTTTTCTCTTTCTAAGCATTAATTTGTAGCAGCTGTAATATTTAACTCATATCTGTTTTTTCATCATGCAGGAATGCAGGATCCTAAAGAACTTTTCCTCTTTGAAGGCTATTGTTTCAGCACTACAGTCTTATCCCATCTATCGATTGAAGAAGTGTTGGGCATGTGTCTCAAAGTAAGCCTTTCTCACTTTCTTCTCTCTTGGTTTGCCTGGAAAGCAGCCTCAGCCACATCTGCTGGCCTTGTTGCTCCCATGAGTAACTGTGGTCCATGTGGGTGGGGAGGAGCAATAAAAGAGCCGTCCTCAGATAAGAAACCACAGACCCGGTTCCTGTACAGTTGCTAGTGGGAGGATGCAGGTGAAATGGTAGCAAAGCCAGGGTTTGGAAGTAATTAGTATTAAGTAACATAGCTTCCTGTATCATGTCTTCACTGAAAAATAATAGTAACATTGCGGTCTCATTGGCCAAATTCACTTTTTGGTATGTCTTAGTATCTTCTGTTCATTCCATTTTCCTATTTTGCAGGGACAGTATGATGGTATATGAAGAGCTGTCAGCACTTTTCACTGCCCATGATAATTATCTGGCAAGCCGCGAATTGCTCATGAGAGTAAGCATCAAATGTCAGTGGCATACGAATGTATGACTTCACAATCCTTGTGAGCATTGCACCGAACCTTTGCTTGGGATGACTTCTAGCAGATTGGTGTGACACAGAAATGGGCGCAAACTGCTGGTTCAGTGGTTCATAATGGTTTGTTCTTTGGGCACACTGGCTTCTCTCCTCTGCCTCCTTCAGTGAGCGCCCAATCAGAGAAGGACGTGGGTCAGGAAAGCTCAGGACGCTGCTCTGAATGGACACCCACCTGAGGACATGGGGAAGGGAAGCCATGGAACACCTCCCATGGAACACCCCTGTGTCTGCAGAATGAACTATTCATGCCCATTTCTGGCACTTGTGAGTAGGCCCTGGTAGAAGTCTGTTAAATGTGATGATGGCTAGTCTTGGAACTGCATTGTGGTAATGAACCTCTTGGGCAAGCAGACTTCTATGTGTGAGGCTCTCAACCTTGCTTCCCTCTTTCTCCTCCCCTACAGACCTGTAGCTAATGATCAGTATTATTTCTTCCATTCAGCCATTTCTGCTACCCGATCTTACAAAACATAGGAATCCAGAGGTGCAAAAATGAAATAGCAAGGAAGAGCTCACATTGTAGCTCACTTTGTACTCATTTTGCAGTTCATTTAAAAAAAATTAGATAGATCGCGGTTTCATATGTTAGCAGCAATATTAAAAACGAGAACTGCCTGTTCACGAGATTCTCATGCCATACTTAGGAAGAAATAATGCCTTTGTTAGCTACTATTTTTGTTGGTCTTGTTAAAATTCAAGAATGGGGGTCTGGTGGGACAAGACAAATATTCACCCAACGTGGCCAACCAATAACACCTGATGCCTCCGTCTGGAAGAAGTGAGACACCATATGACATTTCAGAGGGACAAGTTTGGCCCAGAGATCAACTGTGAAAAGATAGACAACAACGAAAGAATCAGAAAGTAGGATGATGACGGGGCATAGGGCCATTAAGTATTCTATGTGTGTGTCATACCTGGCTGCTGTGCAGGTGTCATGAATGGCCAATGGTTCAGTGAGCTCCTCGGATTCAGGAGACAAGAGGAAGATACATACCAAGACAAAACCTTCAGGGGTGTTGTGAGGAGTTCCACTATTGTCATGACTGCTCCTCAGTTATTATAGAAAGTCTTGGGCACAGGAAAGTGTTAATCTCTTTTGGTGTGACCAACCTGTCTAAACAGTTTGTAACAGGCACTTTGATCTCTCAGTTAACTTCTCTGTTAGTATGAACACAGTCTCACATCCTGTCCAAATAGATGTGATACAAGGGACTGTGATCATGATTCTGGGATAAACAAGATTGAGAAATAAAATAATAATGAAGTCCTAGAAGCCCAATTGAGATTGCTAGGCAAGAAATCGAAGCTTAGGACTTGTAAAACATTTTCAGAATACTGGTTCTTCCATATATAGAACCAGAGGAACCAGACAGAAGACGTTTTCAGCTGTCACTACCCAGATGAGATAGTGAGGTCAAAAGGAAAGGGTTAGATGAATAATATTTATGTTTTTTTTTAAAAAAAGAGGGACTCTACTTGTATCAAAATGAGACAAGATTCATAAATCTTGCCAACAACAGGGTCTAAGGCACATCTGGTTTGAGATAATTCGTAGGGAAGTTTTCTGCATATCTTATTGTCTGGGAAAGGATAGAAGATTTTAACTGTGTACAGACATAATGAAGAACCAGTTAACTGCTTAAAAGTATAACAAGGAAACAACTGGGGGAAAAACACATCGAAGAAAGATGCAGGGCAAAATGTGTCCATATGCTCAGACTTGACATATCAGAGGAAGTGGTTTGTTATTAGAAGGAAGCATAAATATTCCTACTATATTAGAAATATCAGTTCCACTAAGTTTTATAATCTTCAGAACACACTGTTGTCTCCATATTGATGAAAGCTCTGATTGTAATTTTGGATAAAGAAATAAAGAAGATAACCAAAACAGATAATTTCCATTATCCTCATGCAGACTGGAGAATGTATATTCAGATTATGTTTCTGCATGTTAGTATAACTGTGCTTTAGAACAGCTGAGTGGTGATTTGGACCTGATTGAAGTGGACAGAACTGTGTGGGTCATTGAAGTGCTTGTGAAAGCTAGAAGAATGATCACAGTCTGGTGAAATTCAAGTTGTATGTGAGTGAAAAATTCCCTAGAAAATCCAAGAAAATCTAAAGGGATTTAAATGGAATTACTAAAAATAGGATGGCCATATTACAGTTCTTCAAATCCAAGCAGCCTAATTTTCATATTATGCAAATTATTATTAAGCAGACTTAATTACATAATGAGTGTAGAATTAGTTTTTGAAAAAGAGTATTGTAATTTCCATACTGCTGTTTGAAACCTCTTCCAAGAAGTGTAATATTTACAACAACCATATGTTCAACCTCAACAGCAAGCAGAAGCTTCTAGTAATCTATACTCTTCTTTTTTTCCCCTTTTTGCCCAGTCTTCTTTTCCTTAGGGCTGCACCCATCTAAACTTTCATCACAACTCCTAAGATCCTGTGGAAGACAAAATGATAATTGTGTTTCTGAAAGATCAGAGGGTCACAAACTCATTGAACCACAAGACTGTAGAGCTTCAAGAGTCATTGGCCAAAATCCTGCTGCTTAGCATCATAAATCTGTTGCACTAAAGTAGGCCCATTGAATCAATAGAGACTTGGTGAGTCGACTGCTTTTGTAAGTTCCATTGATTCAAATGGGCCAACTCTTAACCGCAGCTTACTATGGGGTAAGTACATTGCTGTACTTGAATCAACAGAATATAAATAAAGAGGAGTTGGCTCACCATATACTAATTGATTCAATGGGCCTAACTCTAGTGTGATTTACTACACTAAGCAGCAGGATTTTGGCCATTGTGTCTAATCCCTCTGTCAAAGGAAGAAATGCAGAAAGATACAAAATATCAGAACTTAGATAACTTCCATTTGTGGACTACAGTTCCCATGATCCCCCAGTCAGTATGCTTGCTCTGAGTCACCTACTTTCTATGCAATATTTGCATAGAAAGTACAGCCGTACAAGGACCAAGCATTTCCACAGTAGTCACATTTGCTCATTATTAGTTTACATATATCTGAGCTCCTGTTATACTGTGGATGGCTTCACTAATTAATTACACAGAAAGGCTTATGTCATCTCACAAAGCATTAGACCAAACAGTAACTGGCCATTTTTGCTTGGCTAGAAACTTACATTTTAGGAAAACGAATGCTTGGAACCAGGTTCAGCTTACAGGCTCAAATGTCTACAAGGTGTGTATGGGTTAAATCCAGCGTAATCCAGGTAACTGGGTAATATGGCAACCCTAACTGAAATGATGGTGTCAGAAGCATTAGATCCCTTTAGAAATATATTTGCAGTTTAACGTTGTATCATGGAGGACAACAGTGTGGTTAAGTAGGAGAATGAAAAAAGCCATTGACGCAGGAAGACTTCTTCAAAATGTTTGCCCAAAGGAGGGGGAAATGACAGAAAAATCTGATAAGCAAAGAGCAACATGGAGGGCAAATTACTGAAGTGCTTTATTTTGTTTTAACTTTTCTTTAAATACATCAAGAACAGCAACACTGTCAAGGAGGTAGTGAAAAGGAGGTGAAAGGAGCACTAGGAGACTGCAGCGCAGCTACACACACTTCCGGCATCAGTCTTCATTATGAAAGAGGCTGGAGTATGACCTATATAGGCAAAAGCATTGTTTTCAGCGAGGGCATCTGAGAGGCTATGTCAAACTGCTGAGCCCTCTAATTGGAGATGAAAGCTGCCTAGGGAAGAGTGGCATTAAGTTCATCAATCTGTGTCAGGGATCAGAAAGGGTTGTGAAATATGGCTCCCATTCATAAAGTTGTTGGAAAAGTAATCTTCAGAGACTGCTGGAATGTGAAAGTAAACATTTTCACTTCCTGGTTGCCTCGTTGTTAATCAGCAAGCCAAATATATTACATCATTCCATCCCAATATGGGTTTATAAGGAAAACACGCACACAGAGAGAGGGAAGGAGGGAGGGAGGGAGGAGTATTATGTAATGAAGGGGAAAGTACTTATTAATAACACATTTGGGAAATGGGTTAAGGACAAAATGTTTTAGATTGAGGAATACCATTCTCTAGAAGTGAGAAAGTTGAGATCCAGATGTGTTTTGCTCAGTAAAGACTGGAGATTGACAGCACTGTGGAACTGGCCCAGACGTTTTTTGCAAACAAAATAAGTGATTCTGGTTGCGATTGTGGTTTGGAAATAGTTATTCTTCATACTTCTTGGAAACACAGAAACTCAAAACCTTCCCCCATCCCCTTTCCTCCATCCCTCTGCCTCTCCCTCTTTCTCAGTGGTTCCCAACCTTTGACTCCCAGATGTCTGTGGACTGCAACTCCCAGAAATCCTGCCAAGCACAGCTTGTGGTGGAAGCTTCTGGGGGGGTTTAGCCCATGAATGGGCTCTAAGGACCCAAGGTTGGGAACCACTGAGTCAAATGAACCACCTGCCTTCTGGTCTTGAGAGAAGGGTGTATCAATATGTGAAATGTTTGTAATTACTGTCTAATGTCCTTTCCCACAATCTACTCTTTTATTTGTACCACAGGAAGGAACATCTAAATTTGCAAATTTGGACAGCAGCGTGAAAGAGAACCAGAAGAGAACTCAGAGGCGGCTAAAGATGCAGAAAGATATGGTGAGAAGGCCCTTCCCATTAAGTTATTAAGGCGTTAATTTAGATCAGCTCATAAATGTTACATCTCTTAAGAAGAATTGTTGCAGTTCGTAGAAGCCAGTCATTTAGTTCAGATGAAATGGAAACCATGGTTTACTATTTCATGAATAATCCCGTCCAAGTCTTAAATTCATGTGCTCACCCCACCTTTTCTCTTGTAACTGCAATGAGATGGGGGCCTTTGTTTTGAAACTTATCACTCTTTACTGCAGTATTTGAACAGAGAGAACTATGTTTTTTAAACCAGGGGTAGGCAAAGTACAGCCTGTGGGCTTTATGTACTGTAGCTGCCCCGGCCCCAAAAGGCAGGCCCTCGTGCCCTGAGGTCCTCAAGCCCTCACATCACCAAACAAAGACCAGTCCAAAATGGAAGACTGTGGCTTCCAGAAGCCTCTGGAGGAGCTGTTTTCCATTTGAATGGTATTTTGGAGTTCTGACTCCTGTCCTCTGAAGATGCCAGCCACAGAGACTGGCGAAACGTTAGGAAGAAGAGCCTGAAGAACACGGCCAAAGAGCCTGAAAAACCTACAACAACCATGTTTTTAAATTCATTGTTGGATTCCAGTTACCTCTCCCGCCCACCCCACTGTTAAAGAATCGTGTTCTTGCATTCTGTTTACCTATACAGCATCTGAAATACTGCTTGCTTGGATCGGAAAAGGAGAAAGTCCTTTACGCTTGCATTGATCTGTTACCAATTTTGTACCTCCCCTTTTCTTCCTCTGCAGAGGCTATATTCCCACAAACTGGCATTGCTGTGGTGAGGCCCATCCTTTATGTCAGTGTTTCTTGCCTTTGGATCCCCAAACATTGTAGGATTACAAGTCCTGGGCTCTTGACCTGAGCTTTTGGGAGTTGTCACAGCAACATCTAGGGACTCAAGTTTGTCTGTCATCTATTGTGCATATACTATATGGCATCATTTATTATTATTTTTACTTGTATGCCTCCTTTCCGAAGTAAAAATGCACAAAAAGGGAAAGAAAAATAAGTGAGTCAGTTTAAGAGGAACAGCCAAATGAGCCAAGCTGGAAACATACTATGTATCAATTACACTTCTCCCTTTGACAATGCTAGAGTTGGGGTGCCAGACATCCCTGTATTTCACAATCTGTGTATAACTCTTATGCTGTCCCAAAACACAACTACAAAGCATAAACAGTTGATTAATACAAGCATATATCCAGAACAGTTCTATCGGGGTTCTCTTCCATAGCATTGACAATCCCTTCCATACAGTACTGTGTGCAATGAGTCTTAAAGGTCCTTATGACCCCCTGATCTAGAGACTGAATTAGAGGTGTTGTGTTTAGGGGCAAGTAGACCACTTCAACGCCTGTGGTGTTGAGATCATGAGGTTCTGGATGGCCAAGGGCACAGTATCTATTGACTATTTATTTATTGGAATATTTATTTATTTACTTATTTAATGAAAAAAAAAACATCGTATAGACAAAACTCTGCTCCTTGGACCTGCACAATTCAAGGGAGAAGTGTACGAAAAGAGAAGAGACAGCATATCAAAAATCAGTAGAGGCTAGTACTCCTGAATGAAAAGGCCTTGTCAAGAGAAAATGAGATGTCTCTGTAAACACCTGTGGGGAAGTCTCAGATAGGTACCACCATAGCAAGAGGTTTACTCCATGTCCTGTCTATAATTTCAAAAAAGTTACATTTTTAGCAAACGATTTCCAGAATCCCACAGCCAGAAGGGCTACTGGTCACTTTTCCAAGCTCTACAGTCACATTTTATAGTAATGGCACTAAAAATCCTGTCAAATTTTCTCACCTTCTATGAGAAATAATATCTTCACACATAGAAACAACCCATCAAAACAGTTTTCAGTAGTTATAAGACTTTTCTCCCCTACATGAAAATGAAAAAACTAGGATTTTTTTCATCAGTAGCAGCATTAGAAAAGAAAAAGAAAAGGTGTTTTTGCACACACAAAACCTATGGCCAGAAACTTGCACAAAACAATGATTATGTTTTTAGCAGAACACAGAATTTTGTGCAAAAACAACTTCTGTGAATCTTTTGCAAAGCAGTTTCAAAATGTCAAAAATGCATAAAACCTCTTGTAATTGTGCCCATCAGTGAGAAGTTTTTTGTTCTCACCAATGAGAATGAAATAATGTGAACATTTACATCCCTATTGTATAATAAAATTCTAAGAAGATGATTATTGCGGAGAAAGTGGATCCTAGGCTGGGATGGGTGCCCATCGGGTAGGGCTTTCAGTTGGACCTGGAAGCCAACAGGCAAACATTGAACTATGGACTAGGCTGCTTAACCTGTTTGCACTGTCATCCTGTGCAGGGGGTAATGCAAGGTACCATTCCCTACCTTGGTACTTTTTTAACCGACCTGACCATGCTGCACACAGCTCTTCAGGACAGTGCAGAGGTAAGTTTGTGCAACAAACAGAGGGCTCTAAGCACAACATGAACGATAACATTCCACATGATCATTTAGCTGTATATTTTCTGGTTGCTTCTTTGTCACATTCACACCTCCGCACACATAAAAGAATGTAATGAGAAGTAAGTAGCGTTTATAGTGGGAAGTAAATAAGGTTACCAACATTTGCAGTGTTGTCTTTGCTGTTGTCTTTGTAAAAGAGTTGCTGATGCCTGTTCAGTTTCAAGATGTTTCTGTGAAACTAGGTCTCTAGCATATACAATTTTATATTTGCAAGCCCTATGCAGAAATAGCACACTTAGGTAATACCCTATTTTGTTGTTGTTTAGTCATCAAATTGTGTCAGACTCTTCGTGACCCCATGGACCAGAGCATGCCAGGCCCTCCTGTCTTCCACTGCCTCCCGGAGTTGGTTCAAATTCATGTTGGTAGCTTCAGTGACACTGTCCAACCATCTCGTCTTCTGCCGTCCCTTCTCCTCTTGCCTTCACACTTTCCCAACATCAGGGTCTTTTCCAAGGAGTCTTCTCTTCTCATGAGATGGCCAAAGTATTGGAGCCTCAGCTTCAGGATCTGTCCTTCCAGTGAACACTCAGGGTTGATTTCCTTCAGAATGGATAAGTTTTTTGTTCTTGCTGTCCAGGGGACTCAATAATCAACCAGCCAGCCAATCATTCTTTCATTGGAACAAACTGCCCCCCTTTTCCCCCCTCTTTTTCTCTCTCTGCTTCTTCCCATTCCCTCAGTTCCCTTTCACACACGTTATCCCAGACAGAAACTGTGCACACAACCAGGTGGTGTGGTTGCTCAGTAGGGAGCTCTCCCTTCCTCCCGTAATAAAGGCATCACAGGGACTGAGCATATGGGTCTGCTACAGTGACTTGTTTTCTCTCTCTCTTCCCTTTCCTTTTCTGCTTCCTATTCCCCCTCAGACACAACACACACTCTCTCCTTTACTTTTCTTCTTCTGCTCTTTCCTCTCTCTTCCGTTAGTGCCACAGACCTGGAATCAGCTCCGACTTTCACTTGTGTTTTCATCAGTAAAATATAACGTTATAATGACCATATTTAGCCCTGTTTTCAGTTAACATTTCACATTTGAGGAATGGATCCTGAATGCTGACCCATCCTTACTGCAACAGGAATCCAGTTTGGAAGTGTTGGTATCTGAATATCGGTTTGAACACAGCAATTTTATGGTCCCTGTTAGTATGGTGCAATGACTGAACCACAACTGTACAAAAACACAAACTTTGAAAGCATTCCTTGTATTGTTTGCTTCTTACAGGGAGGGCTAATAAATTTTGAAAAGAGAAGACGGGTAAGCTTGATTTTCTTTGTTTCTGTCTGTCTGTCTGTCAGTGCATTTGCCTGTATGCATTCCTTGTCCATGCACATCGATGTTTCCATGAATGGATGACTCACGATAGAAAGTACACTGTAAGGCATCTTTTGTGGAAGTTATCAAGGACATGTCTAATACCTTTTTTTAAAAAAATGGCATTGGGCAGAACTTGGAAAAACTCATTTTCTGACAACTTCCAGTATTCCTTAGCCAGCATAAAGTTGGAGTTCATAAGTTTTTTTAAAGAATTTCCTCATTTCATGAATGTATTTAAAAGTTTTCCATATTCAGGGATCTATAAATTTTGGGTAGCCTAGGTGAACAAGTAAACATTTATGATTAACAGGATACATCTGCCTCCTCAAGTGAGAAGGATTTGCTCCTGCCCTCCTGTGTGTGTCCATGATATGGAGTAGGTTAAGGGCAAGCAGAATTTCCCCTACAGCTCAGAGCTGGTGGGGCTCAATGACAGCATGTGATCTATGTATGCCTTCCATGCCACTGGATTTTCATCTGCTTTGCACCATGGCATGTCCACAGTGAATCTGCACCTCAGAGGCAGGGAAGGGTGATGAAGATATACAGGCTTCATCCGCCTCCATTGAGTGACTGCAATTCCAGGTACCCCATAGGAGTCAAGAAAGACTATTACACCTTCAGCATTCATGTTCAGTTTGAACCAGTGAAAGAAAGCAAAGGTTTGTTTTGGTGCTCCGTTTAACATTCAACTAAAACAAATCACAGTTGTTTGCCCATCTTCCAGACTGGAGAAGGTCTGGAGAATCATCCTCTCCCCTCTGTAGTTCCAGTGTTGGGAAGGAGCCACAGAGCTTTCTTTCAGGTACCTAGTGAATGTCCTAAATGCCAAAAAAATGAATTTGGAAGTGGTTGGCATTCCCTGTTTTGAAAGCTGGGTGTCTTTCAGTGTTAAACGATGCATGGTGGCTCTGAAACCCTTTCAAAAGTGAATTGCAGCTTCCAGGAACAACAATAGACTTGTTGGCGCGGTGATGATTTTTGTAAAGTATTGTAAGTGCATTTGCCAATCAGGTACTTAATCTAATTATTCTCATTCTTTCTCAGTCTCCTCTGTCTGACAGTTGATACCTGGAAATGTTCCTTCATTAAGATTCTCATTGTCTTTCTTACTTTTTCAGGAGTTTGAAGTAATAGCACAAATCAAGCTCTTGCAATCCTCCTGCAATAACCACTGGATGACTCCAGACAGGAAATTCATCCATTGGTTCAAGATGCAGCCACGTTTAACAGAGGAGGAGAGGTGAAATGAAGCTTTTCTATATAATTAACTGTAATATTCTCTGTCATGGTATTCATACATGCATATAAATGGCTTTGTGCACCTGCATGAACACATCTTGGAATACTCCAGAGCCTCTTAGAAGTGAAAGCCCCTCTGCCTCTACTGCGCAAGCGCAGCCCTGCTCTCCTCAGTCCTTTCTTGTCTGCTGCGGCAGTGATGTGCAAAGGATTGCTCCAGAGCCTCATCTCTTACTTACCTGCATTTTTCAATGTCCTCCCTTTTTATTTTTCCCGTTTCCCTCCTTTTTCCTACAAGAAACAAGTTTCCTCGTCCAATAATCACCTATTTCTGCATTTCTATTGCTCTGAGAACCATGTGGCCTTGTCCTGATTTTTTTCTGAACTGTAAGATACAACAGAATGATTGATCAGGACACCTGAAGACGAACATGAGTTCCTGAACATCATGGACTTTTGAAACCAGGTAATGAGTACTGCATGCTGAGGAAAGCATCCAGTAGGTAAAACTATTGATTTGGCTTTGATTTGGCTGAAATTCGCTATTCCTGGTGGTTTAAATAATTTTTTTAACCCAACTCTGATGGAGGTTGGCCATGCTTTTGTTGCCCAGCTGATTTTCTCTAGCCAGACAGAAACTCTTTGAGTTTCAAATGAAGGCAGAAAGAGGGAGAGAAAGGGGGGAAATGAGATTGGTGGCCACCTTTTGTTTAGAGATGAGTCGTAAATTCCAAACCATTGGTTTTTGCAGACTGTAAACTACAGCTATTTCCATCTAAGAAGCTGCACCTGTCTCCCAATAGCAGCTATGAAACTTTTGGGACCTTAACATAAGCGTATTATTTAGGAGCTACCCATGAAGAAGGTGAATTATAAATGAAAGCTCACTCTATTTTTTGTTTTTGTTTTTCTTAATGGTCCAATGAAGGTATCACCTATTCCTGCATTTGCATTGTTCTGAGGACCATGAGCATCTGTCCTTATTTTTTCTCGCTTCCTTAGCAATTTTTTTAATGAAGGGGACGCATGAGGCCCTGTCCTTATTTTTTCTCAAGTTTCCTTAGCAATTTTTTTAATGAAGGGGACCTTCTTTACTGTTTTATTTGTTTTTCCCTTTCCCTCCCCACTACTCTCAGTTATTGCTGCTGCCTTTTTAGCGGCTTATGGTTTCCTCCACTTTGATGAAAAACTTTGCACTTTTGGCAAAAACATCCCCCAATCTGATGGGCATGCTATTTGCCTATTCTGTCTAGGAGAGACCCATTTGATAGAATCCTATAAAATCTGTAAAAGTTTTATGCCTCTTAATCTTAAGAACCATCAATCCTGTTTACATTCCTTCCTTTGGGAACAATCCCTTAGGGCAGCCAATGCCTCTTTTAGTACAATTCAAGTTTCTCAGCAGATGGATCAATGGGAAACTTTGGAAAAACCCTCAGCTTTGGAACCTGAGGTCCCTTCTGTTTCCAAGCCTCTGTTGAAATCAATGTTGAAATTGGACCGAGGTAACAAGATAAGAACTGCTACCCCTGGTACTGAGGCTGGAGAAATGGAAAAAGCAGTAGCAGGGCAAATCAACCATAGATGTATTAGCCACCATGACCAACTCAAAGTGTGCTCATTATTGCCCCTTCATGAAAACCTAATTTCATGCTACCAATGGTTAGTTCTCTATCCTGATCATCATCAACTGAAGTTGACTGCCTGGTTACAGGGATCCTGTAACATATCAGATGCCACCCACTAATCGCCTCTACAGCTATAACTGGAAGTGCAGTACGTTTCCTCCTGACATCTGCAGGAATCCCTGGTCTCTCTCTCCACTCTCTTAAACAGCCTTCTATACCTCAAGCAGCAGAGCCTTTAAATTTATACCATGAGCGTCCAGTTGGCAGCTATAGTGGCTCATAAGCCTCAAGGCCACCCATCCCCCTGTCTCTTTACACACCAGACTGTCAAAAGATTCCTGAAGGGCCTCCAGAATGCCTATCCTGATGTACACCCTCTGCACAACCCCAGTCTCTGTCACTGGTTTTGAGCCAACTCACCAGACACCTCTTCAAGCCCTTAGGTTCAACAATGGACCTCTTGCAGTCCTGGTAGCCCTCACATCTGCCCAATGGGCTGGACAGTCACTCTTCGTACATATATTACCTTTCTGTCCAAAGTTGTTTCACATTTCCACCCGTCCCATACTATGTAGCTTTTACCCTTCCACACAAACTGATTTGGTCTTCCCATTCCTTGGACATTAGAAGAGCTCTGACCTTCTGTCTCGACCAGACTAAATACTTTATACAAACAAACAAATTCTTTGTTTGCTGCCAGGGTCCCAAGAAGGGACACCCAATTTCTTCACAGTGTTTTTCCAAATGGGTCACCCAAGCTATTTCTTTATCTTATGAAGTGACAAAAAAGACCTCTGCCTGAGGCTCTAAGGGGTCATTCCACCAGGGGGATTTTTTTCCCTCTGCCACTTCTGTGCAGGGTATAGACATGTCCACGCCACTCACATTTGTCACCCACTATTGGCTTGACCTTAGGGCACAGTGATATCCTTCATTTGGCAAAGTATTTTCTTCTCTTTTGGCTTAACTCCACCTCCATATATTTAAGCTTGCTAGTCATCCATTCATGTGCATACATGGATACAATGACAGAGAAATATAGGTGATTCACTGTAATTATAGTTCTCCGAGCAGTGGTCCATGTATTCACACATCTTGCCCACCTCCCTTCTTGTTTTGCCATGCCCTCATTTTTTTGTTTGTCTTGTGGCAGACAATAGAAACTGAGGGGGGGGGAAGCTTGCATGGTAGAGGCAAAGGAACGTTCATGTTTGGATGCTCTGGAACTTTCCAGGATGGTGGTTTGTGCAGGTGCACAAACCCATTTGTGTGAAGATGTGGATCACCACTTGGAGAACTATAATTATGGTGAGTAACCTATATCTTTTTTTTATATCCAGCGTGCTGTGGTCCACACAGTCAAAGGCTTTTGCATAGTCAATGAAGCAGAGGTAGATGTTTTCCTGGAACTTTCTGGCTTTCACAATAATCCAAGTGTGTTTGCAATTTGGTCTCTAGTTCTTCTGCTGCTTCGAAAGCCAGCTTGTACTTCTGGGAGTTCTCGGTCCACATACTGCTGAAGCCTGCCTTGGAGGATTTTGAGCATAACCTTGCTAGCATGTGAAACAAGTGCAATTGTACAGTAGTTGGAGCATTCTTTGGCTCTGCCCTTCTTTGGGATGTAGACTGATCTTTTCGAGTCCTCTGGCCACTGCTGAGCTTTCCAAACTTGCTGGCATATTGAGTGCAGCACGTTAACAGTGTCATATTTTATGATTTTAAAAAATTTAAAGCTATATGGATGCATTAGAAATTTCTTCTTTGGCAGGATCTTCATTAGTATCAAGCTTTTAAATGCAGAAAATCCCTCATTAATGTTCTCTGAGCAGGTATGACACATATCATCTGTATCCACTGGGTAAGAGATATAGCACCTAGCTGCCAGCTGCCTGAGGCAATATTCCAGTACCCTGTCATCTTTCTCTCCATACTCCCAATATCACTAAGACAAGCAAAAGCAAATTTTGTCTTAGAGGCATGCAGCATGTTCGGTTCAGATGAAATTATCTACAACTTCCAGTAAGTCTCAGAAATGGGGATGGCTGCAAACTGAGTTTTCACACTGTCATTTGTGCCTTCTGGGATGTTTGCCCATATTTTTTTCCTGACAGTCATATGCAATATTATGACCCTTCAAGCTAGCCTTACCTGCCTCTCAATTACCTGTCTCTCAATTGCCCTTAATTTCATTGAGCCTTCATTAGGAGTGGAAAAAGTTCACCAGCTCAGCTTTCTTCTCTTTTAAATAGCTTGCATCATTGAGAACTGAGGCACTGAGACGCAGTGCTTTTTATTATATAAGCACTGTGTCTCACTGTATCCTGCATGTAACATTAAAAGAATCAGGATATTTTCAGAAATGGCTATACTATTGACTTAACATATTCATTTGAGGAGATTATTTTTTTAAAAAAGGACCTGCTGAAAGCAGCTTTGAGGCACACGAAATAAAAATGTATAGTGCTAGTTAGTGGGATACAAAAGGTGCCAAAAAATCTACAAGACTGTAGTCCAACATGTACCTCCCTAGTGCTGCATGAGCAACAGGCATCAATTTGCATTGTGGGGTATTTCTGTCCAATATGATGTCTAGGATGTCATCAACATCCCCTCTGATCACCAGAAGGTAATTGCCAGAAGCAGTCAAGCAACACAGAGGGAAAATTCTCATTGGAGCTACGGTGGCAGAAGCAATCTTTACAAGCACTTCCACAAAATTACTCAACTCATGCCCTCATAATTGCAAAACTAAGGCAGGAAGACATTTGCGGATTAATACTGCCAATGCATTGGGTTTTGTGGGGGGAGCACTAACTGTCTCTTATCCCATCCTGACACAGTCTATCTGTCACTAAAAGTTGGATTTCCTGCATGAGTGCAGTACCTACTATGAGTCTTGTGAATTTGGAAGCCACATGTCTACATTTGCTGGGAATACCAAGCCCCTTGACATTCCACATACTATTTAGACATGACCAGTCAGAAACAGACAAAAAGTAAGCAGACTAGAATAAAGAAAACCAGGCACCCATTCAACATGCTCACCATGAACCTGGCACCCATCCCAACATGGTCACCAAGCAGTAGCGTATCCTCTCCAGAGTCCATCCTGCCATGCCAGTCGGTTGATCCAAACCCTGTATCACAGAATGCATAATCCAGCTGTTCTTTGTGGAAAGACCCAAGGGGAGCCAAATGTGCAGAGGGGGAGAGAAAAAACCCAAACCGAATAGAAATGCCCAACCATTAAAAAGAGGGACCTCCAAACCTTGTCGTGCATAATGGTAATATAGCTCCCAAGCAGGAAGCTTTGCAGACAGCTGTGGGTCATTGGTGGCTTTTTCTGGACCTTCAGAATACTTTCTCAAGAATCATTTGGAGGCAATGACTGCTTAAAGTCTCGAATGTATGGGCATCACCAAACGCGGGTTTCCTCCTTTGTGATGCTTTGTCAGGCTTTTTTTTTACTGCAGCTGTCTTCAGTTGTAGTTTGTTCATGGGTCTTTCTGCCATACATTTTATCTTCAGCAAGTGAAATGCACACTTGATCTGGATGAGGTGAGGTGATTGACTCAACCATTGCACAATATTCAATTTCTTTGCCTTAAAAAACTCCCGGTTTGCTTTTGCAGAATGTTTTGGGTCATTGTCCATTTGTAAAGTGAAGTGCTGTCCAATCAGCTCTGCTGAATTTGGCTGAATCTCAGCAGACAATACGATCCCTATGCACTTCAGAATCCATCTGGCTGCTTCTGTCTTCTGTCACATCATCAGTGAACACTAGTGACCCAGTGCCCTTGGAAGCCATGCATCCCCCTGCCCCCATGGGTGTTTTACAGATCATGTGGTCTGCTTCAGATCATGAGCGGTTCCAAGCCTTCTCCATTCTTTTTTCTTCCCATCCTTCTTGTACAGGCTGATCTTCATTTCATTTGTCCAGAGAACACTGTTCCATTACTGGGCTGACTTCCTTAGATATTTTTTGGCAAAGTCTAATCTGACCTTTCTATTCCTGATGCTTAATGAATGGTTTGCACCATATGGTGGGCCCTCTGTATTTGCTCTCACGAAGTTTTCTCTTTATGGTAGACTTCATGGTGGGCGTTACCTTTCTTCTGGAGAGTGCTCTTCACTTGGCTGGATGTTGTGAAGAGGTTTTTCTTTACCATGGAAAGGATCCTATGATCATCCACCAGTGTTGGATCTATGCATGTCTAGGCCTTTTTATGCTGCTGAGCAAACCAGTACAGTGGGGTCTTGACTTGAGAACTTAATCCGTATTGGAAGGTGGTTCTCAAGTCAAAAAGTCTGTAGGTCAAGTCTCCATTGACCTACAGTGCATTGAAAACCGATTAATCCCGTAACAGACCGTTTTTGTTCCATTTTGGTTTTTTTCTGGTCTCTAAGTCAAATCTCAGTTTGCAAGTCAAACCTAAATTTTGAGGCCAGAGAAGTCTGTAACTCAAAAAGTCTGTAAGTCAAGGGTCCACTGTACAGTACTCAACTGTGTGTGTGTGGGGTTTTTTTTTTTTTTCCATTCCTAATGCTCCTGCTACTTCTCTGGTGGATTTTTTCTTTTCTTTTTTCTTTCTTTCTTTTTCTTTCTTTTTCTTTTTTTGCAGCCTAAGGATGGCCTGTTTCACTTGCATTGAGAGCTCCTTTGAATGCATGTTGTGGGTTCACAGCAACAGCTTTCAAATGCGTGTGCCACACCTGTGATCAACTCCAGACCCTTTACCAGCTTAATTGATGATGAGATAACAAAGGAATAGCTCACACCTATCTATGAAACAGCTTTTGAGTCAATTGTCCAATTTTGGTCTCTTGAAAAAGAGGAGGCTATGTATTAAAGAGCTGTGGTGCCTAAAGCCTTCCTCCAATTGGGATGTGAATACCCTCAAATTAAAGCTGAGAAACTACACTTTAACTGTACAGTAACTTGAATTTATTTCAGTAAACAGCCAAAATAACAAAACATGTGTCAGTGTCCAATTATTTCCAGACCCAACTGTATGTATTCCATATGTAACATGTGGAGGTCATTATTGTATAGACTTAATTTCCTCTTATTCTTTTCTGTGTTCCATTTGGCTTTGCACTTCATTTTTCTCCAATTTTCCTTTCTTGCTTTTATTTTATGTGTGAGCCTACAAGCTGGGACTTGTATGCTTTAAATTCAGCCTCTAGCAAATGATAGGGCTTTTGTTTAAGACGTGATGACAATGGGTATTGTTACCAATATGCATGTACCACATATTGATAACAATACCCAAGCTAGTGATACCTAGATTGGAGCTGGTCTCTTCTCGATACATGCAGATACTGGAATGTGAGGCCTGGTTCACATTTTTCTGTGAGTGAAATTGGATTCGTGAGCCTCCACTGTTTAAACAGTACATTAAGTTACACCTTCAAGCAGTGCAATGTTTTCCTCCACCCTGGTGACATGAGTTATCTTCTGCCTGTGGAGTTGGTGTAGAATGTATGGCTATGTATCACATTGGTTGCAGCCCTCCACCATGACTCATATTTCAGCTGGGTTTTATAAAAGAATAAGTCAAAGATACATACTGGTTTCAGGAAAAGTTTTCTGTGCAATTGTTCAAAAAGCTAACATTGCTTTTGGCCATAAGCATAAGGTCCAAATCTGTATTAGTGCAATAATACAGCCATAAGGGCACAAATGTGTGCAAGCTTTTAAGATCATCGTCACCTTTATCACACAAGTTCGATTCCCCACTGTGTCACTTTGATGGGCTGGATTTGATGATCCATAAGGTTCCTCTTCTAGCTTTGCAGTTCTAGGATTATTCTTATAGGTCAGTGGTCCCTAACCTTGGGTAACCCAGGTGTTCTTGGACTGCATCTCCCAGAAACCCGAGTCAGCACAGTGGATGGTGAAGACTTCTGGGGATTGCAATTCAAGAACACCCACGTTCCCTAATGTTGGTAATCACTGTCATAGATTATCATTAAAAAGCAGGTGGATGGGAGGAAATAAACTTGGCTTCTGACATTTTTCAAAGCTCTTAGTCTGATGTGTGTTTTAATTTTGTGATATTATTCTACAGTATCAATGTTTTATGGAATCCTAACTGCTTTTACAGCTACTCCCTATCCTCTGACATTGAGGCAGCCATTGATCCACCCATAACTTCACCTCAAAAGAGCATGGTGAAGCGACTAAGCCAGTAAGTATGACCTGACAAATGATGATTAGGGAGGGACTGGCATGAAAAATGCATAAATTGCATTATAAATGACCAATTCCAATAAGAACAGAGAGGAGAAAAGAGAGAGAGATAGAGATTTAACAACAAATAGAGACAGTTAATGAATATGTAAAGGTTCCCCTTGACAATTTTTGTTAGAGAGGAGAAAAGAGAGAGATATAGAGATTTAACAACAAATAGAGACAGCTAATGAATATGTAAAGGTTCCCCTTGGCAAATTATCCAGTCATGTCCAGCTCTAGGGCTCGGTGCTCATCCCTGTTTCCAGGCCATAGAGCCAGCGTTTTGTCCGTAGACAATCTTCCATGGTCACGTGGTCAGTGCGACTAGACACGGAATGTCGTTACCTTCCCACTGAGGTGGTCCCTATTGATCTACTCGCATTTTTACATGCTTTCAAACTGTTAGGTTGGCAGGAGCCGGGACAAGCGACGGGACCTCACTCCGACGCATGGATTCAAACTGCTGGTCTTTTGACCTTGCAGCCCAGAGGCTTCTGTGGTTTAACCCACTGTGCCACCACGTCCCTAGTTAATGCATAGATACAAAATTCCCATGTTTCCCTTTATAAATGGGGCTTCACAGATAGCATTTAAAATCAGGAGTAGAGGTGAAATATCTGATGAAAACCTTAGACAAAGTGATTGATGCTTATTTCCCCTTGCAGGGAAATGTTGCTCTCCAGTATTTCCTCAGATTGCCCTCTCTGAGGATTGTGAGAGGGATCCATTTCGAAACGCCTTTTTAGGTGCAGTTGTGATGAGGTCTGTAGTCAGTGCCTCTCCAACATCAGACATCCAGGGCCAGAGAGGACCAAAGGGGCTTCCAGAGGAAGCTGCAGGTCCACTGGATCCAAAGCCCTCCACTTCCCCAGGCACATCCCAAGAATGGGGCAAAGCATATATTTGCTCTGGAGGTGGAACGGCTTATTCCCTCTGTTGAGAACCAAATGAGAAAGAACATCTGATGTGTTTTATTTGTATTAAAAAGGCTGTTGAAGGACCCAAAGAGTGAAATTGTTGTTATTATGAGTTTTAATGTGATAATTGTTTTGTTTGTTGTTGTTTAGTCGTTTAGTCGTGTCCAACTCTTCATGACCCCATGGACCAGAGCACACCAGGCCCTCCTGTCTTCAATAATTGTTTAGTGTTTTTAAAATATTGTAATAATTTATTATTTGGCTTTTAAGTTTGTTTCTTTTAAATGCTGTAAGCTGCCCTGGAACCTTTGGGAGAAAGGCATCGTATACATATTTTAAATAAACAAATAAACTCTAGTCATGGTATATTTGAAAAAGAGAGCATGACTCAGAAAAAAGGGGACAGGAGCTCAATGAAGAGGGACTCTGTATGTTGGTTCTGGCTCTTGGTTTGCATGCCGTGCTTGCCAGCACTTTCCCACCCTTTAAAGCTTAAGTCACATAAAAACATGGTTGTCTGTTAAGGTCCCGGAAAGACTCTTTGCTGTTTTCATCTGTTGCTTGCTTTTCATGGGGCAGATTATTACTGGGGCTGGATCCAGCTGATTCAGCAGCATGCTCCACCCCTGTGAAAGACTCTGGAGGAAGCATGGATTCTGCCAGCATCCCCTCCTGTGAGCTCCATCACACAGAGATAGAAGACCCCTGTGTCACCCCCACAGCTACTCCAGAGGAGCCCCAGAAGAAGGTAGGCATTTTCAAGTGTCCAGAAGGAACTGCTCTCAATTTCTGAGAAGAGTGACGGGGGCAGAATTACAAGTAAATGAGCATTAGGGGAAGTATTGTGATTCTGCCTGCATTAGGACTGTTACAGTACCAGCAACAGCTCAGCCATAGCCAACGATAATCCTTAAAATTGAGAGCAGCTCTACCACTAGGCAAGTGACTACTTTGTTATTGTCGTTGCATTTGTGAAATGCTGTTAGAAGTGGGGTAGGGGTACCAGAGGGCTTTTCTGCTTCTTGGGCTGAACGGATTTGGCCAGCTGGGGCTCCAGTGATCTTGAGTTGAGGTGGGTGAGTGAGAGGCAGTGTTTACTCTTCTGCTTCAGGAAAGGCAAACAACTTGAGGCTGTTTGTCCAGTGGACACATCTGTAAATCTGCCAAGAGAGGGATCCTGGTGATTCAGAAATGTTAGGCGCAGGAGAGCTCCAGCAACACACATGTACAGAACTTGACTGGATGTTTTGTTTGTGAGGGCATGTATATTGAAATATCAAATATGTGTGAATTATAAGAGTGATTATGTTGACAAGATTAGACATATTTTTCTGTTTATAAGAATGGAGATCTTCGAGGAATGAATGGGGCTGTGCGGATATTATGGGTGAATAAGTAACCTAGTTAATCTAGATGCAAAATCCGGAGCCAGAGTCCTGAAGGCAGTTCGTGTCGTTCTGCCAACTCCTGCAACATTGCTGGAACCAGTCGTATCGGCTCTTGCCTTTCCATTGGACCATTTCAGCAATGTGGAGAGCGGGGATCTGCTGCTTGGGTAACAGCCTATCCTCCATATTACTTTACCCAGGCTTCATGCTCTGGAGAGGACACTCCTCAATTCAGAGCATGTTACCATAGTCTCTCGAGACTGAAGGATGCAAAGGATGCCTATGATGAATAGGCTAAAGAGCCTTGCCTCTGCTGCCACCTGCTGGTTCCTTCTTCTCAGGGCAGAAAGGAAGGCACGTGGTTCCTCTCTGAGAACGATGGTTCTTGGGCCTTACCGGGTGGTCCTTTTTCAGGAGGACTACTGAATACTGATTGTAACCAGGAGATGTGTAGGAAGAAAGGTTCAGTGATCCAGTCTGCCTTTGGCTACAACAGTAACCTCCCGTTTCACTAAGTAGCAGAGGAAAAAGTGATAACATCTCCAAAGTGAGATAAGTGAAGAGCAAGTAGCTGTCTTTGAACAACCAGCTTCAGCAAAATTAATCTTCTGGTCTCATCTCTCTCTCTCTCTCTCTCTCTCTCTCTCTCTCTCTCAGCCATCAGAGTCCTCCTCAGTTGCCGGCTCTGCCACCTCCTCTGCCTCCTCCTTTGAGGGAGCTCTCCTGTGTCCTCCATCGCCCGTCAGCAGTCCCCTGATCTGCCCTGTTTATAACGAGCAGAAGGGGGGTGCCTGCATCATCCGGGTCAGCGTGAAGGAGGATAATGGCAACATGTACAAGAGCATCATGGTATGTGATAAGAACAGAGGGGACTTATTTCCAGGTTGCTGTTTGTATTGTTGGGGCAGCAAAGGATGTTCTGTTGCAAGGCTCTTCCTTTGCTTGCAGCAAGGGAAGGGCCCCTGCCTGAAAGGCTGGAGAGCTGCTGCCAGTTAGCCTTGACCATCCTAAGCTCGATGGGTCAGTGGTCTAACTGAGTGTAAGGCCTGTGCTCCTGATTAATGTGCTGAATTTGAACACAGCAGCCCGGTGTGCGTTTGTTCCCCTTCTCTATTAGAAGCAATGGCCACCATCCTTTTTTGTTTACTATGCACAGAACAGCAGTCGTGAAAATGATTTGCTCCACTTTCCAGGGTGTCTCTTGGACACCCCAGGGAACAATCGGTTGCACAAGTGGTGTGTGGTTGCACACAGGACAGACATCCAAAAAAAGGCAGGGGAAAAAAACACTTGTGTGATTGCTTTTCCATGCACAGTAAAATGTGAACAGGATACTGGCCAGGAACTTAAAGGCAGCGTGGTAACATGGACATTTCATGTTCCTGTGCTCTTGATTTAGTGGCCAAGAAAAGCATTGCCATTCCTGAAAGAGGAAAAGGGTAACGTTTTATGTAAGAAATTCTGGAAAAGACCTTTCAAAGCCAGAATTACATGTGGAACAACCACCAGTCAGTTGTCTTTGAAGTTCAAAGCCAAGCATGAGGGCAGGAGCAATATATACAACCCCCATGTTCAGAGGCCACACTTCGGGGACAAGCACCAGTGGGGAAACTCATTGCCATTGATGGGTCTTGCCATCCAACAACTGGCTTAACCCATATTTAAAGTTTTCTAAGCTAGTGGCCAGCAGCACATTTCACGGCAGAGATGTCCAAAAGCTAAAGATCTCCTGTAGTAAAGAATGTTCTTTTGTCTGTCCTGAACCTCGTGAATTCTCATCTGTTTATGACACCACTTTGCAAGATGGGTGACACCAAGATGATGGAGAGCCTCTGCAGGCTCTTCTGGTCAGTGGGAGCCACCTGGATCATAGGGATAATGAGAACAAAGAGGTAGGGGAGGCAAGAGAACTACCTGTGGCTAAGCAGTTACCATAGGATATTTGCCCCTCTTTTCATTTCCATAGCTGCAGCGTGGACAACATATGATGCATAAGGACATTTTGCTTTTTGTGTACTTGACTTTGATGTTTAAAAAAATCCCAGTAAAGGAACAGATGTCTTGAAACTGCTGTTAAATATTTTGATTGGAGTTTTGGTTAAAGCAGAAGTAATTTGCCTTGGGATGTAGGATCACCCCAGCAGTATCTCTCCCTTCTTCCCAATGTTTATGGCTAGTCTGGAGATTGGAGGTGGTGGTAGAACATCCCAGTGGCAGCCCCCAAGCCATTCTTGTTGAGCTCTCAGCCATTGCCTTGCCATGGGGGACAGGGGTGGCTCATAGTCTGACCATCAACCTTTAAACTAGCTTGCTCTTCTACACGTTGGCTGTGAATACAGTTGTACCTCGACTTACGAACTTAATCCGTATTGGGACAGAGTTCGTAAGTCGAAACATTTGTAAGCCAAAGCACCATTTCCCATAGGAGACAGGGTTCGTAAGTCGAAACATTTGTAAGCCGAAGCACCATTTCCCATAGGAATGCATTGAAAACCAGTTAATCCATTCCGGATTATTTTCATTCTTAGGTAGAGGCAGAGTGGTCGAAATGACTAGATAGGTGGGGTATCAATCAATCAATCAATCAATCAATCAATCAATCAATCAATCAATCAATCAATCAATCAATCAATCAATCAATCAATCAATCAATCAA